CAAAAGTAAATACTTTTCCCAGTGACTTCAGTTCATTTGTTATTATAGTGAACCTAGTCATCATCTCCTCAATAAGTTCAGACTCCTTCATAGAGAAGAGCTCATAGTTCATCATGAACAACTCAATCCTTGATTTCTTCACTTGATTTGTTCCTTCATGAGCAGTTTGAAGTACATCACAGATCTCCTTTGCATTGGAGCATGCAGATATCCTGTTGTACTCATCAAGACCAAGTCCATAAATAAGGATCTTCTTGGCCTTTGTATTCTTTTCCATATTCTTGAAATCTGCTGCAACTCATTCAGAGGGGTCTTTGGAATAGTTTCATTTTGTCCATTTTGTTTGGTGAGAGTTAATGGTCCTCGATTCACTATTGTCCATAGTTCATAGTTCTCGGCTATTAGGAAATCCTTCATTCTTGCCTTATACCAACTGTAGTATTTTCCGTTGAACAGAGATGGTCTAGTAGTTGACTGTTCTTCATTAATTCCAGGTGGAGCACTCATTTTGCTTTCAAAATATCTCTAGGTGTTAATCACGTTTGAGAGAACCTGCTCTGATACCAATTGTTAATTTGAGTGTCTTCCTAAATTACTAAAGAACTTGGTTCTTTGCCTTACTCTTTATGCGTAAATAAAATAAATAAAAATAAGAACAATAATTTTTACGTGAAAAATCACTCGGCCCAAAGGTGCAAAAATCACGACCTACCACGTAGGATTTTAACTTCAACTTCACTAGAACAAATGAGCCAAATGTACTGATTACAAGACTTGTAAACCAATACCTACACAATTCTCCTACTTCAACTATTTGAATGAATTACAAGTTACTCTAACTTGCACACTCAAACAACTACTCTAACTGACAAGCTTTGAATAACATCATGATTATAACTTGATTTCCTAATACATATGAACTAACAGACATAAGAAGAACACTGACATTGATGATCGCCTTGAGTGTTGAACTTGAAATGCAGTGTTTTGTTCCTCAGTTGATGTGCAAAAGGATAGTCTTCTCAGTCCATGGGGAAAGTATTTAATTTTCCTATACTCCGAGATCTTTGGAAGTCCTACACATAGTCAACTTCTTGTTTGATAGCAATCCTAAAGTTCCAAGGACTCCACTAATGTTGTGACTCTTGTCTATCATTTATGCGAGCAGATATTCTTGGACAACAGTCCTTATCGCATCAAGAGCCCTTTGCAGCAATCTCGAACTATAGTAACTTTGTGTAAAAGTTACTGTCTTGTAAGAACCTTCAGCAACTACCTTGAGGATCTAGTTCTTAGCATACTTCAATAGCCACCTTGAGGACCTGGTTTTTAGCACACTTTTACTGGACACACTTTTACTGGATACACTTTGTTAATCATCAAAACCTCAATTCTCTACAAATAATTAATCACTGAAGGACAATTATGGTATACTATAGTAATTTTATCATTTTTATTATTTTTGTTTCTGGAAAATTAAAATAAAAGCAATACACTTAATATCTCAAACCACAAGAATTAAAATGTGTATAAAGGTAAAATTAGACGATTGTCTAAAAACTTTTCATAAAAAAATGAAAAATCGCTATTACTATTTCAGAGTCGNATCACAGTTTTCTAATTAAGGGCCAGTTTGAAAAGTAATTGATGTAATTACTAGACTAGTAATTACATAGTATTGTAATTACGATGACCTGTTTGTTTGTCATAATGTAATTACAAACGTATTATTTGATTGCACAAGTGTAATTACACAGTTAGATTAAATTTTAAATGAAGTAATTATCAAAACTTAAAAGTTAATATAATAAATATATGCTTGTAAATATTTTTATATAAGTATAAATGATATCAGACTTAGTATTTAAGATGCATATTCTTTCTTGAATATAAATTAATTAGTAATTATTTATAATTAATATTGTAAAAATAATTGATATATATTTTTCAAATTAATAATATTTAGTTTAATAAATTATAAAAGCTAAAAATATACGTATTGTAAGAACATCATGGAATGCATGTTTGATAAAATAAATTAATATTTTTAAATATAATGTCATAACATTATTTAAATGTTTGACAAAACTAATCTATCAATTCTAACTAAAAAGTGAACAACATGCAATGTGAAATAACAAGCCAATACTACTTAAACAAGTAAAGTGAAACCATAAATATAACACAATTTCAAAATTCAAAAAAAAAATAGTTTAACATATGTCAAATTCCAATATAATAAAAATATTCCAATACAACTTAAGATTAGGAAACATAATAAGTTTATATATAACCTCATTCAACAACGAAGCTCTACTTTAGTGACATCATTCATTATATGCCAAGTTTGATAATGACTCATTATTTCTCATATTATGAGGTATAATTTTAAAACCTAGAATAATAACGCAATTACGCTAAATGAAAAAATAAAACAAATAAGAAATAAAATATAAAAGCAATTACATGAAATCACAAGAAGTAAAGGTAGAGAACAAAAGATAAATAATGTACGAAGAAAATATATTTAAAAATTAAAAAATAAATTAAAAGGTGAAATTAAAATAAAAAGAATTTAAAATAATGGAAATATAAAGTTATGGAGAAAATAAATTAAAATAAAAATAAAAATAAAAGAAATTAAAAAGTAACCTTATAATTACACAATGTAATTACCACCAATTCTCACCTTCCCCCTGAGAATTGGAGAGTGTAATTACACCTCTCCAATTATACCCAATTCCATGCTGATCAAGTAATTATTTGGCCAGACAAACATGTCAAACTGCGTAATTACACCCAAATCCAATTTCTATGTGGCTTTCCAAAAAGGCTCTAAGAGGATAACACAATGATCAAAAGATCAAATCAAATTGTACTAGTATATTATAACGAAAATAAGCATTAGGATTTTATCCTCAATCATACTTGGTCAAAATAAGTAAACTTAGTTTAGCAAAACTAAAGCAAATTAGCCATAATGAATGGGACAAACTAACACATCACTGCAAACGATAAGGGAGTACGAAGAATTCCGTGATGGTTAATTAATTAATTAATTAATTATATATATATATATNAGTTTCGGTGATAGAAATTTTTTTTAAATTTTTTTAAAATTATATATAGGGTAGCCTAAGGAAGAATGGGGAGGAGATAATAAGATGGGGAGTCGAACCTGACCAAAAAGATGCAAGTTTAGGTGGCAAACCAAGTAAACTACTAAGATTCTGTACATATTCTTTTATATGTAGAGAGTTTGTTAGGAAATAACTAATCCATTGTGTCGATGTTTTGTGCATTTGGTAATACCAATATATTAACGGATGTTTTGTGCATTTGGTAATACCAATATATTAAGAGATAATTTTAGAGATCTCCCTCCAGGTTTCGCCCTATCACACTAACATTCTTTGTGGTTTACAATATTACACCTACCTCCCTTATTTTGATTTTCTTGTAACCATTCTTTAAACTTGTTTAAAATAAATATAAATAAAATACAATTTGATTAGATTTGCCCTTTTTAATGTTAATTTCTATCAATTTACTTTTTTTTTTATAAAATTTAACGTCGGTCGCCAGAAAATGTTGGGTTGCCGCGAAAAATGAAGTCACCGATAAACTAATAGTATAGAGAAGCTACCTGAGACCTTTCAGAAGTAACTAGTTTACTTTGTTTAATGGGAAAGACACGTGCATACAGAATAGTGATAAGCTTTATGCTTGTATCTATATTTAAATTAACTTATTAGTGTAGGTTTATTTTTAAAGAATTTGTTAAGTAAGTTATGTTGATAATGTTTATTACTAATTGAAAGAAATTAATATTAAAAAGGGCAAAATTGTTAAATTATATTTTATTTATATTTATTTATATTCATTTTAAATGAGTTTAAAGAATGGTTACAAGAAAATCAAAATAAGAGAGGTAGACGTAATATTGTAAACCACAAGGGAGGTCACTGTGATAGGACGAAACCTGGAGGGAGGTTTATGAAATTATCCGATATATTAAAGGATAATTTCACACATGGTCACTTAAATTTACTTGTTGCATTAATAAAGGTATATAAATTTATTTTTTGTCTCGATAAACTTATAAAATTTTACTTATTATATCAGTAAAGTCATGAAACAATTATATTTGTAGTCACATTAAAGTCACTAAACTTTACATGTTATATCAATAAAGTCACAATTGTTTTTTTGCCTCATTAGTCGCTAAACTATGTGTTAATTGTCTAACGTATGTGTTTTTTTATTTATATTTTTATCTTTTAGCTTTATTGTTTCTTTAATTTTTATGGTTTAAAATATGGGATGTGACAAGCTGAATTTTAATAAATTAGAGGCTGTTTGGATTGACTTAAAAAAATAGTTTTTCAGCAGAAATAGCCTTTAAGTTAAAAAGCAGTAAGTTGAGGTTGCTCATATATTGCTTTTGGCTTGTTTTAAGCAGTTTTTAACTTATTTAAAACATTTTTTAACTTTGTCAAATACTGAAAAAAGTTAAAAAGATCTTAAAAGCTGATTTGACCAGCTTAAAAGTCAATCCAAACACCCTCTTAAATAGATTTGCTTCCATGTTATTTTTTGGTGAAAATTTTGATTTGGTGAAGTATATATATTTTTAAAGTGTATTACAATCCAAGACTTTTAGACAATACCTGGTTGAAGTCTAAGCAAAAAGTATTTGAATTTTAAAAAAGTAGACGACAATTCCTTTATTAATAATCACCACATATAAATTTCAATTTTATCACGGTTATGGAGAACATACAGAGTTCATTCATTTATATTCGGAACCTTGTATTCGAGCTAGGAGAATGAAAAAAATTATGATAGAATGCGCTTTCTCCTTTAATTGTCTAATCCAAATTAAATAGGATAAAGCTGATACTAAATAGCAAATGAGAAACGAAAAAATTAATTATTATAATTTCCGCATAACTAAAGTACTTCATTCCCAACTTAACCTGTTCAAACTTGACCCTATTGGTGAAAGCCATGATATCGACTTGTTCTAGAATATTCGCAGGTAGCCTTCTCATAGTCAAACCTACACATACTACTTCCACAGCTTTCTCTGTAGCTCGAACACTCTCGCCTTGTCTCTCCGGTTCTCGCTTTCAGGTTCGCGCTATGGCTGACTCTGCTTCTCCCTTCAAAAAAGTTCAGATTCAAAGGGATGATACTGTAAGTATTTCTTTCATTTTCATTTATCTACTTGCCTCACTTTCAATCGTAAAATGATAGATTACTATTTGCGTCGCTTGTCCTTAATTACTCTAGTATTGAGGTGTAGTTGATTGTTGATTGATTAATAATATTTCTGTTTGCCTTACCCGGAGCGTGGAAAGGAGAGAAAATTAGAGGACTTGGAAGTCGGAATACTTTTTTTTTGTTTGAATGGGAGAGCCTGATATAGAGTAGTGTGCAAATTTCATTGAGAAGTGTTGATTTTGATGAGAAATTTGTTGTAATGAGCAAATTTTAGCTTAGGGCTTGCTGATTTAGATTCTGAAGGATGGAAGAACTAGCATTTTGCTTGTTTAGTGTTTGGATAATTATTGGTTCTAATTAAAAAAAAGTGCCTCTGAAATAGACTTGAATAGGCGCCGATTTAATACAGAGGATTCATATTACCAGTTGCAACTAATTTGGGATTGAGGCGTAGTTGAATGATTGATCATCTGCCCAAGGGTGTGGTCTAGTGGTTAACAAAGTAGGCGGAGAATCAGGAGGTCTTAGGTTCAAATTCTAGCGGAGGCCAAAAAAAAAATACGAGGTGATTTCTTTCCATCTCTACCGCCTCTCTACCTTCACTGGGTAGGGGTAAGGCATGCGGTAGGGGTAAGGCCTGCGTACACACTACCGTTCCCAAACCCCACTTGTAAGAATATACTAGGTTTGTTATTGTTGATTTCTTTCCATCTGCTCAGGCCTTGGTGATGGGTAGAGTTAGCTGGTACTTGTGCCAGTGGGAGGTAGTATGTATTCGGTGGATTCACGCAAGCTGCCCCTAACACTATAGTGATTAAAAAAAAAGCGCTTTGATGTCTTTTTGTTCTGACCTGCTGTATATCTTTATCTCAGTTGCTCTTCATGTTCTAGAAGGCCTCAACTGGAGACGAGAATTGTTTCTTAGCGTGACCAGTAGAGTGGAAAACATTCTTTCTTCTTATTGCTGATTTGTTTGAGTGATCTTATCATGCAGACATTTGATGCATATGTAATTGGAAAGGATGATGCCCCTGGAATCGTTGTGCTTCAGGAGTGGTGGGGTGTTGATTTTGAGATTAAAAACCATGCTCAAAAAATTTCTCAATTTGGTTCTGGTTACAAGGCACTTATCCCTGAGTGAGACTCCTTTTTTCGCACATGAACTTTCACTTGATGAATGTCATATCACAGTGTAGCTGATGGTTAATGTAATTTTTTATCTTTTTCTTTTCTTTGCAATTTCAGTTTGTACCGTGGAAAAGTTGGGTTAGATGTTGCAGAAGCACAACATCTGATGGATGGTCTTGATTGGCAAGGGGCTGTCAAAGATATTCAGGCTTCAGTTGACTGGCTTAAGTCAAACGGTTCCAACAAGGTACTTGGTGTTTATTCTACAGTCAACGTTGTCAACCAAGATGGTCTGACATGAAGCTATTGGTTCATGCACCTGTTTAATTTCTCAGATATCGAGAGCTGTGGATGTTTTAGAGTGTAAAGTTTGACTAATTAGATAGACGCCATTTAGAGACAAGAATATTGTCTGGAGTAGCTGGACTATAAGTTTGAAGTTGCCTCTGTGCGTGTTGTTGATAATTCTTTTTCGATACAGGATAGTAGTTCTCCTTAATTCTACATGGTTGAAGTTCACAATTGGTCTCTTCAGTATAAATAGTAGTAGCTAGCTATGTGCACTTCCAATTGGAATTTTGTCAAAAAAGAGAAAAGGAAATAAGTATTATTAATAGATATGATTCGATGTTTGTACACAGGTTCTGCCAGTATAATTCCTCAACTAGTTCTTATGTTGAAAATCTTCTCCTTATTTCTACCGGTCTTTTTAGCCGAGGTTCTATCGGAAACAACCTCTCTACCCTCCCAGTGTAGGGGTAAGGCTGTCTACATCTTACCCTCTCCAGACCCCAGACCCCCCCACTTGTAGGAATTCACTGGGCTTGTTGCATTTCTATTGTCTCTTAATCCTTGAACATTTTTTTTTTGATAAGGTAAACAACCTATAGTTACTTAAAAGCAAAGAAGATGTGACATATTTGACCATATATTTTGATGTTTGCCAGTGAAAATTAATATCAATTGTTTCTAGGTAAGCAGTTTAGTTCTTCTGCAACATAGTTTGAATACCTCTGTACTTTGGACTATTGAGTTATATATACTCTCTTCATCCAAAATGAATTATGTCATTCCTTGTATGACCTATCTCAAGGTAATTCAAATATTTTCAGGGGATATTTTATAATTTGTCCTCCATTTCCGTTTGATGAATGAAGCTCTGCAATTACGTAGAACCTATTTTACTCTGTTCACCTTTAATCCTAAATTACGCCTACCAAGTTTCAAATGGAAATACGACTTTGCTTCCTAACTATATTAGAAAGAGCATACTTTATAAAGGAACTTGAAAATTGATCACAATTCTCACCGAGGAATCAATCTGAGTTGGGAGCTGGAAGGAGTCTGCCAAGTAACCATTGAAACCTTTCTTTGTTTATTTCAATGAAAACCACCAACCTCTCTTACAAGCTTCCATTTTCATGTTAAACCCTTGTTTCTCTCATACCATCTCTCTCTCTCTCTCTCTCTCAAGCATGGCAATCCCCCTCTTCTAGTGTCTCTTTGCTCTCATACCCCAGAATATGCTGAATGACCCTCTTTCAGCGACAATCTTCAGAAAGTCTTGCTGGTTGCTAAGTGTCAATTGATTTCTAATTGACAAAATATTAAACTGCAAAAATGAAATATTTCAAAGCTTGCCACTGATTTCGTCCCTGCATAAGTGGATTATAAGAGAAATATAAACTTCTTAAATTATAAGTTTAATATAAGTGGTGCTTTATTTTCTTCTAAACCGGTTTACCATCATCTCTGATGAGTAACATAGTCAGCTTAGACCTCCATGTTCAACCATGTCCAAGCTTTTGTTAGATAATAAGGTGAGGCAATCTTGTAGTGGCGTCTTTCATGAAGGACCAAGAGTCTTTGGCACATGTTCCTTATTATATAGCTGTAGAACATTCTTCATTTTGGCGTACTTTATTGGAGGTTAGGTTGTCATGAGAGATGATAAGTAGATTCTTGGAGGAAAAGGAGATAGCTTATTATGAACTGTTCCAAAGTAGTGACATGACATGACAACATACCCAGTATTATCCCACACCGTGGGGTCTGGTGTACGCAAACCTTACCCCTACCTTGTGAGGATAGAGAGGCTGTTTCCAAAGTAGTGACATGCATTATGAAAATATAAAATAGTTCTAGTAGTATTACCGATAAATATCCCTAGTCGTTTGAAGTTAATGCTCTTCTCTTTTCCACTTTTATCCTTTCCTCTGTTCTTTTCTTAAATCCGTGCATACCCAAAAAGTTTGCCAAATGATGCACTGATTTGCCAAATCATGCTATGATTTTAATCATGATATGTTGTAAAATATTTTTTGTGTTTCCTGGGGGTTTCCTTAAGTTCTTAAGCATAGCTCTGTCTTGTTGGTTTTCATCGAACTGCTTACTCTATAGCATACGATGTGTGGAACTCATCACGTGGTGTTTCTAATTCTTCTACCTGATTATATGTTTGATGGGTTCTGTAGATTTGTAGAGTTATCAACATTGTTTAACTGTGTTTGTCATGTGTGTGCTTATGATTTACAAATATGTGGATTAGGTTGGTGTTACTGGATACTGCATGGGTGGTGCGCTTGCCATTGCAAGTTCTGTTCTGGTCCCAGGGGTAGACGCAGTTGTAGCTTTCTATGGAGTTCCATCACCCGAACTTGCTGATCCTGTTAATGCTAAGGCACCTGTGCAGGCACATTTTGGTGAAGATGATGGTTTAGTTGGATTTTCAGATGTAAAGGTATATCCAACTAAAAAGAGTTTCTTCTTTAAAGCTTGCTGTGGTTGTTGGCTTGTTGCTACTTTGGCTTCTATGATCTACATGTTCCTGTTTTCTTGTCATGATCACGAAGCATTATCATACTGTGTCATAGTTAACTTTGAACAATCAGTTTCTTTGTTCAACTATTTACTAATTTAGTCTATCCGGCTTTCCATGTCCCTATTTGGCTTTTACGTTTACAATGGTGGATGGTTATTGCAACTATTTGTGGGATACTGGGAGGGGTTGGCGGCTAAAGGCATGCTTATCTATCATTACTTATGTTATTGCAATACTATGTTGGTTCTCCAAGAGAACCCCCCCNACAGGAAACTCAAACGAGTTCAAGTATATCAGATTAATTTCATTTGGATTTAAAGAACATTCTTGTATCCTCATTGATTGATGTAATAAAGAAAAGGAATGATATGAAAAATAGGAGCACACATAAGAAAAGGAACGATATGAAAAATCGGAGAACACATAAACAAATGAGAGGGTTTCCTTCCTGAGGTAGTTTTAGAGCAATGAGCTCTTCCCCGATGGTCAGCACCTACAACCTCAGGGTTGTCGGTTCGAATCACCAAAGGAGCAATAGCTCCAACAAAGGGTGAAGGGGAGCCTTGGCGTAACTGGTAAAGTTGCTTCCATGTGACCAGGAGGTCACAGGTTCGAGCCGTGGAACAGCCTCTTGCAGAAATGCAGGGTAATCTGCGTACAACAGACCGTTGTGGTCCGGCCTTTCCCCGGACCCCGCGCATAGCTGGAGCTTAGTGCACCGGGCTGCCCTTAGAGCAATGAGCCCTTGAGCCTGAGTACAGATGTGTTGCATTATTAGGGTCATTCTGGTTTAACTCCAGGATGTTATCTACTGTACATTAGCTGGTCACTGAATGTGGTATTGACCATCTTGAGCTGAACACTTATCTTTCCTCGTTTAATGAAGATATGTAATTTGGACAGACAAATATATATATACAGTTCATGTGATTGCGAGGTATAGTTTATGAATTTAACTTATCGTTGATGTGATTTCTAGACTGGGAAAGCTCTAGAGGAAAAACTGAAGACATCAGAAGTTCCACATGAGGTTTACTTCTATCCACAGACTGGACATGCATTCATGAACAAGTCGCCGGAGGGTGTTGAGAGGAGGAAAAAAATGGGGATGCCTGATGCAGAAGATGCTGCTGTCGAGCAAGCTTGGACCCGCTTCCGCTCATGGATGAGTCGATTCTTGTCCGCCTAAGCTGTGGTACTTGATTTCTGAATCTATAATAGGTTGTGCCTTGACAATAATTTGATGTGTCTTGATGCTCCAGAATGTTTCCGGGAGCTTGCTTTTGGAACTCAGGTTCCTACGGTTCGCATATAAAACTAAGTGTTCTGGAGATCGGATATATGACCAGGAAAACAAAGTATTGTGGACTGAAAAATAAGCTCGGTTTCTCCTTGTCCTTGTAGTTGGTATGTTAGGTGTATGTAGAATAACCATCGTTATCCAGCTAGCCCACTCTTTTTCCATCTCCTTTTCTCTCGTCGTGGCTCACCTTTTCAAGTCAACTTTATATGAAGACCTGAGGCATTCCCTGTGATATACGCTAGGTGGTATATTAAAAGGACAGCCGAATCAATTGTTAGGTTATTCATAAAATAGAATAATGGCTGAATACATACATAATCAGAAACTGCAGTTGTTTTTTTAGCTTAGTCAGACGTTCCAATACTTCATTTTAACAGTATATCCCGAAAACCCCACAGCCGAAATAATTGAACTTGCTGCAAAGTTTAATGCTCATGCACGGAGGCGACGCAGCACCGATATTGCAGAAGTTTCTGTTGCTTATTGGAAGATAGTATCTTATTGGCAGCAGAAGCTGTTCGACTCGATTGGTGTGTACAGTACAGACATTTTTCTTAACTCTCGGAAAATCATATACTTGGAAATTTTGTTACTTCTTGGAGCGACTTTAAAGGAGGATGAGTACTGCATTTATAGTTAGTAGAAGGTGACTACTTGATATATAAACCGCAGGAGGAACAATCCATGGTTCCAAACAGTAGGGTACAAAGCTAGCACAAAACAAAACGAAGATCTAATTCCAAAGATATGGTGCTGCTGCTGAATTATGATTGCACAAAAGTTGATGTGCTACCTTACGTGGGAAATGGTAATGTAAACGTGATTAATTAGCAAATGTTTCTTGTGCTGAATATGTTTAATTTCTACTTTCCCATTTTACAGAGAAATTGTCTGGCAAGATCCATAGATATGTCCGCTCATCAAACATCATTTTAGCCATTGGCTCTTTTATTCTAGCTGTATCAAATTTAATCAAACTTTATTTAACTTGTCAAATGTTTAAAGTTTGACAGGGTGGATTAGAGGAATTAATTAAAGAAGGTAATACTTGGGGTGAGGTTTGGTTGGCCTATCAAAAAATTAGGACTAAAAATGGGCTAAAAAGTGTAACCTAACAAGTTATCAGCCCACAACACTCAATTCTCCCAAGAAGAATTGAGGGAGAAATTGCGGAGCTAAAGATCTTAGTGCAAGTTAAAAATTCTCTGAGTTCTTCTCGAATTCACTTTTTCCTCTTCAATTTAGTAGTCCTCCCTTAAGAGTGTAGTAGACTACTAGTCCTAAGCCTAATGATGTTTACCAAAATAGACAAAAATAAATTCGTCTCAAGGTCACCTATTGGAGACACACACACACACATTTTTTTCCTAAGTTTCCAAAAAAGCTATTGATCATATATTCAAAGTTAAAAATACGTTTGCAGTTGAGAGATTGCTTACTTGCCGAGTTCTCCGCCGGCCACACAAGGGCGGGCCTACGTTGGAGATGGGTCACCGGAACCCGTTAGCTTCGGCAAAAAAGCTATATATATATTTCATATATCTATATATCTATATAAACAGTAAGGACCCCTTAAATATATTATGCGGCCCCCTAAAATTATAAAATCTAGACAAAGGAGCTAGTTTGCAGAAGTGCTTAAGTACTTTCACTCTCTTGATGACCAGGTTCGAATGTGAACTCTTACGTTCAAACTCATTAGTAAAGCAGTATCCCCTTCTCTCTCCCCTCCCCGATGTAATTAAAAAAATGAAAAAAATGTTATATACGTTTACCTTCTCATTGCCTAGTTAGCAGCATTAACTGTAATGTTTAAAAGAACATGATTTTTTCATTTGCTTTCCTTCTTTTGTTTTTCCAATTCATATCATTCCGGATCGAGAAAAATTACAATAAGAGATCCCTTAGTTATTGACAATTATAATCTTAGTTCTCGCGATATTTGGACATGATCATTAACCTTCAATTGAATAGAATTATGCGCTCACTAAACAGCTTCCAAAAGTTAAACCATTCACCCTTTATTAAGTTCATAACAGAAATTTATTTGTACGTATACTCTTCTTTTAAAATAAAAATTAAATTTGTGAAAAATTGAAACGGGAGGAAATAAAACTGTGTACTACTCATTGGAGGTTAAATATAGTTAGGCGAATATCATTAAGATAAATTAAAACTCACATATAATTAAGGGATTAAATGCAGTGATGGATGCCTATATATGTAAATTAGTATATCGCCTAAATTATATTTCTGTATCGTTCAAGTTTTATGAGATCCCCTAAAGAGGGCATACAGACAGGGGCGGAGCTAGAGACCGAGGCGCGGGTTCGGCCGAATCAGTAGCTTTGATCCAAACTTTTTATTTGTCTTAATAAATTTATTTAATATTTTTGATTATTAATTTAGAATCCAGTAACTTAAAAAGACTAAAATCCTGAACCCAGAAACTTTAGATTCTGGCTCTGTATACGGGTAAAACCGAGGCTAATAAGCACCCCGATTTTCCGGTGGGTTAAACGAAGAAAGGACATGACTACATAAGATCGGAAACGAAGCTGGGAACTTCTCGTACTAAGGCCCGAACGGAGTGCTCGCTACCGGGCCCGACAAGACAACACCCCCCGAACTCGGTACAAGCTCTAAGATCTCGGAAAGCACTACAAACGGTTGCGAACGACTAACAGAGGGGCCGTGATATCTGCACCCAACCGGATATCGCGGCGCGGATCTCGCACGATGTCGGTAGCGTATCAGTAATTGATGTACATGGAGGATTTTTACCTTTTTTAGAATTATACTGGGGGTAAAACTCCCCTACTATATATAGGGGAAGTTTCTTATTCAATAGACACACTGTAATACACATATCAAGGCAATACAAACTTGTTTCTCTACTTTCTAGTTATTGAAAAGTTCTTATTTTAATCATAGTTCTTCATACGCATTTGGCTGCGAATCGGGGGTCCAGTCGAGAGCAGAATTATTGTTAAGCTTAAATCCGAGCCCGAACTTAACGTCACAACTGGATTGGTTATCCACAGTACCTTTAATTCATTTATCTAACATTCTTGATCATTTATGTTGAATCAATCCATATATCTTTAAAATCGCGTATAAATTCAATTGTTATCCATTTCAAGGTAAACAGGCTCCGCCTCTGCATACATACACACTTCTCATCATTCTTGTTCTTTTTGTGGTTCTCTTTCCATTTCCTTTTTGGTCTAACTTTAGGAGGGTCATTCAATGCGACTTTGGGCTGATTTTTGTTGAATGAAGACATATATTTCTTTACTAATAGAACGTGAAATTCACTAGATAGGAGGGCTTGTTCTTGAAACATCTGGTCCAAATTTAATTAGAACAAGAACTAAAAAGTAAAAACTCGTAGGCGGAGGCAATCCAATTATAGGTATAAGATATTGGAAAGAAACTTAAGACTTGACTGAAATGGTCCGAGACGTTAAAGATCATGGTCTAATTCTCATCAGTATCTCGTATGCCAATTTCTTTAGTTTTTTATTTTGTCAAATTTATTTAGAAACCGAAATTTTACATTAGAGTGAAATATCAAAATATTCCGCTTTTATCTTTTTCTATTTCATTACCAATCTAATAGTAATAAATTGTTCTTCTAATCAATGATTAAGATATCCAATTATGATTAGACTAGTCTCAATGTGGCATTAATCAAGAATTATTTCTCAATCTTTCCATATTCCTACACTTGGAGCTCTTTTATACTTTTCATACACTACAGAAAACTGCGAAAAACCGTCCAGAAATACCGACTGAAATCGGTTGGAAAACTGGAAAAATCGATAGATTTTTGACTAACTTTAATTCGTCAAAATTAGGCTGGTCAGTAATAAATAGACATCGAATTCGATCGCAATTTTCGACCGATTTCGGCCGATCAATTAAATTTCACAAACGGCCAAAAAAGAAAAAATTTATTGAAAAAATCGACTGAAGTTGGTTGGTATTTTTAATTATGTAATTAAAAAATACACCGTATGGGAATCGAACCAGGGTCTATACTGTGGCAAAATACTATTCTACCATTAAACCATTGGTATATTTTGGTTTAAGACTTTCTTTTATTTTCTTTATACTCTTTAATTGTATTTTCGCGTGAAAATAACCGACCGATTTCGGTCGATTTTATTAAAAATATAAAATTACCTACCGAAGTCGGTTAGTTTTTTAAAATGACCGACTGAAATAACCAGTCGATTTTATTTTTTTAATATTAATTTTAATTTATTTTACATGAAAAATCGACCAACTTGGTCGATTTCTTAAAAAATAAATTTCGCGAGATGCCAAAATAATTTGCTGCATTTTTGCGCCAAAAATACCGACCGAAGTCGATCGGTCGGTCGCGGTCGATTTTGGAAAAATTTCTAGTAGTGATACTCATATATCCACTATTATCAATGTACCAACTACCAAGTATGAAATTTTTGGTGATCATGCATTTAATTTACGAGAACCAACTAAAGAGAATGACGTTTAGATCAATCATTATTCTTATTCGTGGTTTCATAAAAATAATTACGTACAACAAGAAGATAAAAAGAAATAAAAGAAAAATGATGAATAATACTCAAGAAAGTACATTCATAATCTTGAGAGTCACATATTAATTAACAGACAAAATTCAAAATTTGCCGGTCGATCAAATTTATTACATTTACTAGCCTAAAAGTGTGTAAAATATGTATAGTATATATATCTAATACACACACACATATATAAAATATATTTTGTCGGCTATTTTTTATGGGAATAACTAAAAATATATGTTTATCTTATAGTGAAAATAATATAGCCTAATTATGATTAAGTGCTAAAAATTAATATGCATTATAGCTATTATGCATTCATTGATTTAGTATGAACACTAATGCAACTTAAAAGTATTTTCTTTATTATGATTTATAAAAAAAAAAAACAGGACTAGCTCGAAGAAGACTGAGATCTTGATGACGATAATACACCAGCGTATTAGTGCTTCCACCATTAATTTAGTCACCAAAAGTTGAAAATCTCGACAAAGTAGACTTCAAGCAAACTTTAATTATAAAGAATTAAAGAACTCAATTTTTAACAAATAACCGACTGAATAAAATAAAATGAAAAGAAAAGAAAAACACCCCATGAAGACCTCATATTAAGAAGCAGATACTTGACTCAAAGATTATTTATTATTAGGCTCAGAGACGTGATGCATATACAATATTATATCTTAGTTAATTTTATTTGAGAAGCATATAAAAATATTTGATAGGTCAAACATCAAGCTTAAGTTTGAAAGGATATGTCTAAAGATTCAACGATT